TTATATTTATATTAATTAATAAATATGCTTTTAACTAATTTAACAAACAGATTATAATTAAAAATAAGCATAATAATAACTAATAAATGTTATAACTTACATTTAAACCAATAATATTTAAAAAAAAATATTTGAACATTTTGCAAAAATTAATATTAATATAAAATATTATCATTTTTTTGTTGATAAAACCCAAAGTACATGTCCAATTTTGAAAATTCTTTTTTTCTATTATACACAATTGCTTGCTCTAAATATTTTGTATTGGGACCATCTCAATATTTCTTACTTGAAATTTGCCCATAGAATTAGCATTACCAAAAGTCTGTTTTTGTTGAGCCATAAAACCTAAAGTACTGGACCCATTTTAGTAATTCTTTTTTATGTTATCCCAAATTATATGCTTTACAAATTTTGTATTGGGACCATCTCTATATTGCATATAATTAGACCTGTAACATGTGGTTTCGGAATTGACCCATAACAGGCATACCACGTGACCATAAAAATTATGTAAAATATTGAGATGAACTAGCGTTTATGGGGCTCTTAAATCCCGTTTACAGAATTAAATTATCTCAGTTAGTTTTAGAGTAATCGTAAAAACAGCGTGTGCGAGATCAATTGGACGCCCCTTTATTTACAATACTATCGATAACTGGAGTGATATTTGTTGTCTATATTGTGGCCATTATTTACATCCAATGGAGACGTAATAAATTATTGAATGATCCATCAGTTGATCCCTACAGTACTGATGAACAGACTATACAAACGGTTGACCATTCATTCATAATAGATAATAAGAAAAAGATGTCCACAACTAAGAAATCATTAATTGGTCCAAAGAGTGCGATTAAAACAAGAAAATAACATCACATTTATATTAAATATGATTTTTAAATATATATTTATTTTATATTGAATTTAAGTTCTATATGTTTTGTATACTTTTATATTTTATTAGAAATAATATTTTTCTCTTTACAGTAATATTAATTATATTAATAATTATTGTCTTTTAAGAGTTGTTAAAAAATAATTTGGGTTTGAATTTAATTTCAAATATTTATATATTTTTAAAGTGTTTTCAACTACAGTAAAAATGTATGACAGTATTTTTAATCTTGTGTTTAATTTATACATTAAATATGAAAACAAATTTCAATAATTATTTCAAATGAAGTAACAATTATTGTAATTTACGAGATGTTAAACAAATTATGTTTAATTTCAATGTAGATTCAAATACTGTATCAATCTTTAAATTAACGTTAAATTTGTTATGTTTTCGGTTATAATTGAATTCATTTCTTTTGATATTAAGTAAAAAGATTTTATTATTTTAAAGAATTCTTGAAATGAAAATAAATGTAATTTTTGTGGTTATGGTAAGCATTGGTTGTATTGAATGCTCGCCAATGTGTCAATACATGCAAACCAATGGCAAATACAATGGCATTCAAATACACAGACTATGGATGCTTTCGGACAACAATTCCTTCAAATCTGTGTATAAGATGTACTCAAATGGAAAGGAATGGGAATTCACTATAGAAAGTGATGAAAACAATACACTATCTGTTGTTATGGACGATAAGATAGTGAAAGAAAGTGAACTACTATCTGGTAAACTAGTAATCAATCATCTCTCGGGTCTCATATCAAACATCTCTAATCCCGACCAAAAAGACAGTTATTTGTGTAAAATATACTTTAAAGTAATATTTTGACAATTAATACACTATTTATATTACAATTGTATTCAATAATAAGTGATTTATTAATTCACTAAAGGATTCACAAAACACATGCATTAAGTGTGAGTTTGAGTCAAATAAAGAGAAGAATTCATTGGAAACACCGATCGATGCGAAGGGCGTTGTATTCAATCCATGGATTATCGATGAAAACAGTGTCAGTCCTTTCCAGCGATTAGTTGTATTGAATACAACCAATAGATTCGTACAGTTTTTTGAAGTCCTGTGGAATGAAAGTGGGAAACATATACGTCTGGATTGTGTGACCGGATACAAGTGCGGCGCCAATGGCTTTGTTAAAAACATATCACAACACTTGTTGTCACAGTTGGAGGGTATCGTTGACTACAAAATTAGGCCCGATTTGATGGGACATATGCTGTGGTTTAACATCGAGGGTCAGCCCCGCTATTGCTTCACACCTTACGGACTACAACTGTCAGCCCAGGTTCGCACACCCTACTATAAATTGTGATAAATTATATGCAAAAACTAATGTATTGTTTATTAATATATGTTTAAAGTGTTCACAAATTGAGGAAATGATTTCATTTAACTGTTCATTTGCCACACAATTCACTCAATCAGACAATGCATTTCCTATGATTTTATTGATAGTATTTATAATACTATCGATAATAGGAGTGATATTTGTTGTCTATATTGTGGCTATTATTTACCGCCGATGGAAACGTAATGAATTATTCAATGATCCATCAGTTGATCCGTACAGTACTGATGAACAGACAATACAAACTGTTGAACATTCAAAGGATAAAATGTCCACAACTAAGAAATTGTCATCAATTGATCCGAAGACTACGATTACAACAAAACAATGATTTTACATTTATGTTAGATATTATATTTATGTTTGCATTTAAATTATTTTTATATTTCATAAATAAATTTTCATTCATTTCTAATTTTAACATTAATTCAAAAATTAGAATATTTATAAATAATGTTTCGTTTGTAAAGCAATTGTAAAATTGTTTTTGATTTAAATACTAGCCTACTACCCGTGGTGTAACCATTATATTTTGAGCGATTCGATTACTTTGTTCTCTTATCTCTCCTTATTCTTCATTTAACTACAAACCAAAGCTAACCCAATACAACCCAACCCAACTTATACCAACTTTATATAACTTAAAAATGATAAATTGTCAGTTATAACGCGTTGAAACATTAGACTGTTTGTTGGTTATGTCTGGCACCCGTGGGTACCTGCATACCTAACCTAAACCAATTAGATAGTAATAAAATACAAGAGAAAAATGTTGAATTTAAAAAGTTAAATTGTATTAATAATTTATGTTTCGCGAGATGATTAGGAAATTAATTTTAAAAAAGTATTTTAAACGCCAATACTTTTGTTAATTTATGTTGATTTCTGTTATAATTGAATCAATGTTTTGTATAGAATTTGGTTTGTTTTCAATGAATATGATAGCAATTATTGTAGTTATTATAAGCATTCGTTGCATTGAATGCTCGCAAATTGTATTTTGCGCTGATTCTCGGCGTTATTCTGTTGGCCAGAGTTGTTGAACAGTTTGAGCCGTTTGTCGTTGGCTTCGCGCAGCGCTATTAAGAGCAATACGTTGAACACGACGAGCGCAGCGCAGGGCCCGATGTGGACGAAGATTATCCGAAATGTGTAGTACGAGGTGTAGTAGTAGTCCTCGATGTCGGCCACCCATTCGCTCGACAGTATTTGGCAGCCGGTCTGCGGCGAGTCGTTCAGTAGGAAGCGTACGGACACGTATTGGCGGTCAAAGAATCGGGTGATTTGGTGCAGGAGTGCCAACAGGAATATCGTACAGATGGCGCGTATGACGCGGGGTGTGGTGCACCACGTGCGGGCCGTGGTCGGGTGGCATATGTAGATGTACCTGGGCAAACAGACATGGTTCATTTAGTTTTGAAAAATGTGCATGGTCAATAGTGGTGGCCATACCTCTGTCCGGCCAACAACAGTGTGAACCAAATGGATGCCGTGTGGAAGAAGGCCGGTATCACTTCAATCATGTAATAGTAGGCATAAGTCCGCATGCAGCCCACGTCATAAAAGGTTACTAACAAGTTACACATGTATATTTTCATGGTACCACGGCCCTTGTCGTCCCAGTTGTCCAGCCGCTACCGGTAGCTGTCATCGTTATACAAACACCGGGTCCGCATGTGTCGCTGCGATAACACCAATACAATCAATATATTGGCCACTATTGTCACCACCAGAAGGAATGGCATAATATAGCCAAACATAACCACCGCGTACTCGAAAGGCATGTCTCCGGTCACGTTCAGCAAGTTGATAGGCATCTGTTAATATGACCATGATTGATTAAATTGTCTACCATTTATTAATATATTTATTTCGCATTATGTTTCGCTCGACATGATTTTGTTTTTATTGTATTACAATATTGCAAATGTATTTGTTTTTGTTGTTTTTTCCGGAATATTCTTGTTTTTATCCCATATTTATATCTCTTTGTATCAGAATGTTAGCAGAAATGAGTGCTTTATTGTGCGATTTTTAGATTTCTAGAAAAGAATTCACAATAATAATAACAGAGGTATTCACAACCTGTTAATCAACTGATAATAAATATTGTGCACATAATAATTGTTATTATTATTCGATTGTATCTCACCTGTGATTATATACTGTACAATAATGTCAATACATTACGTATTTACTACTATTGTGTTATGAATTAAATAATGATTAATGATTTGCACGGAGTCTATGACCGCTTCCCATATCGTTAACTACTGAGAGACTAAAACTAAATACTCATTGGTCTGAGAGGACAGTATAATCCCAATCATCTCATGTATTCTTATGACCATTTCCTGTAAACCCTGGAATCCCTTTCCCATCGCTCTCTTCCCCTGCCTTTTGGTCTATTATTGTAGAAATATTTTGAAACAACAAAATTTGAAAAATGGATATCTCTATAGAAATGCATTATTCTTTCTCTTTGTTTTCCAATACACTGGAGATGGATATCATGTGTGGCCATCTCTGGCCGCCTCCGGACTCAGCCATAAATAACAGTTGGACTAAATATTTCAAAAATCACTTTAACTAAATGTTTTATGCGATAAAAGTAATGAAAGTAATAAAATAAACAAAATTAAATGTTGTAAACGTAATGAGGGATAAGAGAAAATAAATCATGAATAATACCTCAATATCATCATGGTTATTAAGTAGAGAATCGTTGGCAACATATGAGGGAATGTAATCAATAGCCGTGTCGGCAGTGGTTGTGATGTTTATGATGGGTCGGGCGCTATAGTACTGGCCATTGGCCACATAAATGGTCTCTTGAGTCGGTATCGCATCCATTATA